CTCAGAGATATAGACGGATATTGATTTATCACATATATTTTCCTTTGTTTCAATCGCGAGAATATTTTGTAAGTGATAGAACATTTAAAAAACAATTTTGTAGACAACAGTCTTTAACATTTTTCTGGGAAGATTTGCCTTCGCGTTGGTTATATTCATTGAAAATAAAGGCAGTTGTATCTTTTATAAATACTGTTTAAATATGTTTACCATAGCAAGTATTCACGCAACTAATGCTTAAGGTGAACAATTCCAAATCAGAAAGTATGACCTGGAATTGGAATGAATTCAATGATAGCACATACGCTGAATCCTTAATAAAAGGACAGGATTAATAAATTCTAAACACTTCAAACACTTCGGCGAATAGATCAATTATTAAGAAAAGAATAGAAGATAATGAAATCGAGGCTAAAATAATCTAGGCTAAGGCTAGTTTTCTTCATCTTCACAATATGCTACATATCTAAAATATTATGAATTCGAGTTATGTTCTTAAATTACTTCGTCAGTTGTAGTTTTAATTATGGACACTATGCATGGCGTCAAAGTCGTTCTGAAAAATTATAAAATCTATATACTAGCGTTTTCTCAGGTAACTGTTGAAAAAGAGCTTAAAATGAATTTATTATGCAGATCGTAAATAAGATTATCCATTATAAGACCTCACTGAAGGTGACAGTATTTATGAAATGAAATACACCAAATAACAAAAAGCTACACCATTTTAAAACTCCCAACAGCAGCAACATCTAAATCGGATAGCATATGTAACTCTAAGAGAAAATAATGGTAAAATCAAGGTAAGGTAAGTTAGACCCCATTAATGCAAAAAGAAAAAAAAATAGACTTTAGAAACTTATTTACCTGAAAAAGTAATTTAATAGAAAGATTTTATAAATTCCTACGCATAATAAAAGCTAATTGTCCGCCCAATGACATTCGAAGGTTTCTTATAAGCAAAAGGCTATTCTCACTACTACCATTACAGTGTTTTTATATATTTGCTGTTTTAAGGTAATTGCTGTTTGAACATTATTCGATCCATTTTTATATACTTGCTGTTTTAACGTAATTAATGTTTGAACATTATACGATCCATTTATCTCTGTTGATTTTAGTTACCATCATTTATTCCTTTACCATCGGAAATAGTTAGAGATAGATAAAAACAAATCTTGAATCTATTTCCTGATTTACTCTGCAGTGTCATGTTTCAAATTAGATGTCAAAACAATTAAGAAAATGGCAAAGAGTCGGCAAAAATTCCTGAAACAATATTTCAAAACCGTTTCGCATTGAAGAATTTTGCAATCGTAGAGAGGTAAAATCATCGGTTAAACGCGGTCTCTTTTGACATAATCAAATGTACATTTTTTTTTAATCGTTTCACCCCAAGCAAGGCGGGAAGCCACAAGGACGCAAAGTGTTACAGAAGATTTGGAGCAAGATCAGATAGGAGTGATAGAGGAAAGGATGAGGAGAAGGATAGTAGATAGATCAAGGCAACTGGAGATGTCGATTGACATTACATTTGAATAGTTGGAGATTATAGCTCACAGGGAAACTGGAATAGGGAAGGGAGTTCCAGAGGCGAGAGGTGCGAGATATGAAGCTATTGGAATAGAAGAGACGGATACATTTAGTAGTTTCGACAGTGAAAGGGTGAGAGCGGGATGCATGCCTCGTAGGGCGCTTGAATACATGAAGTCTGGGAACCAGCGAATGCAGCTCCTCAGAGCAATTACAATGAAAGTATTTGTAAAAAAAGACAGAGAGAGGCGACGGCGCGTCTGTGAGAGAGCGACTGTAGACGAGATGCCAGAACAGGGCCAATTATATTGCATATCCGCCTCTGGATCTTATCGAGAACCTCGAGGCAAAGGGACTCCAGACCATATATGGCATCAATACTCCATGCAAGGGAGAATTGTTGATTTGTAGATCTGAAGGATCGATTCGGGGGAGAAAGATTTCTTGTCGCGGCACAGGGAGCCAACTTTCCTTGCGGTGGACGAAGCAATTGACTCAATGTATTTGTTCCATCTCAGGTCAGCAGTCAACGTGAGACCGAGCTGCCGCAGAGAGGTGCTCTCAAGAAGTTAATGGAGGGCAAGGAAGGATCTCTGTGGTGATTACTAGAGAGCTGTTTTGTTTTTGAGGCATTAAATTTGACCATCCAATTTCTGCCCCAGTTCACAACCGATTGAAGGTCCTTTTCGAGACGCACGGCCAGGTTATTCTTTTTTTCAGCGACACCAGATTTGTTTTTGAGGCAGGAGTAAATTGTGGTGTCATCCGCGTAGATGCCAACTTGGGAATTTATGGCGTCAGGAAGGTCATTTATGTAGATAAGGAATAGACTGGGGCTCAGGATGGAGCCTTGAGGGACACCTGCGTTCTTGGGATAGGAACTGGAGGAGAATCCGTTGAGAACAACTTTCAATTCACGGTTTGACAGGAATGATTGTATTAGGTCAAACAATGGACCCGTAATACCATAACCCTGGAGCTTGCGAAGAAGGCCGGCATGCCAAACCCTATCAAAAGATTTGGAGATGTCTAGGGCCACGGCACGGGCTTCCCCGTTATTTTGAAGAGCTTGGTAGACAGTTTCAGTGATGGCCGTAAGAACATCAGCTGTAGATCGGGCAAAGCGGAAGCCATATTGCTTGTCTGAAAGCAGATCATGGGATGTAAGGTGGTTAACCACTTCGGCATTGATTAGGGCTTCGAAGACTTTGCCGAAGAGGGGTAGGAGACTGATAGGACGGTAATTAGAGGGATCAGAGCGGTCGCCAGAGTTCTTGAAGACAGGAACAATCGAAGAGGACTTCCAGCAGGAAAACAAGATTCCTTGAGGCAGTAGTTATATAGTTTAGAGAGGGCGGGCGCCAGTTCAGGCGCGCATTTCTTCAGGACAATGGCTGGTATCCCATCCCCACCACTAGCCTTGTTGGGGTCTAAATTGGAGATTATGCCCAATACCAAATACGGGGTTATGTGTAACCCACTCAATAGGGCATCAGTTCAAAGAGGGAAGTCGGGTATGGGTACAACGGAAAAGTCGAGCGTTGTTGAATGAAAATTTCCGAGCAAAGTATTCAGCCTTGTCGGCAGAGGATGTCAGGGCTTCGAACTGGTTGAACAAAGGAGCACACATGTATACACACACAAACAGACACACACACACTCACTACACACACACACACACACACACACACACACACACACACATATATATATATATATATATATATATATATATATATATATATATATATATATATATATGTACGTATTCATAGAAAAGGCCCAGGAAGGAAATTTTAGGGCGGTGGAAAAGTGACAGAAATCGAGACCCCAGATCAGAAGCGATAAGGGAAACCGTCATTAGATCTGATGTGCTTTGACCCCAGATCTAATGACCGCCTGTTCTAATGACGAATTCCCTTAGGGAAATACAGGTTCAAATCAGGCCGAAGAATGAATATTCTCTAATAAGATTTCTAGGATATGCAGGATAATAACATAAAAGGATGCAAACGACATATCCAGGAGCGTAAAAAATAGAGTTATATTCATTAGCATAAACTGCATAAAATTCCGAGCGTGTTATCGATGTTGGATATTATATTCTCTAATATATACCTATAGCTCTGTTTCTTAAAATTGAGCCTTGTTTTATAACAACTGATGAATAAATATACTTAGGTACTTGTAAATATTTGTGCGTGTATGCATTTCGTTTTATCCAATATATATATATATATATATATATATATATATATATATATATATATATATATATATATTTGTGTGTTTGTGTCAATGTGAGTAGTGTGTGTGACTGTGTGTGTGTGTGTTGTGTTGTGTGTGTGTGTGTAGCATTTGATTAAAAATAAAAATTTAATATCGTAACCAATAAAGTTGCAAAATATTCCCCGGTGCCATAGGTAGCTATTGGAATTTAGATAATATTAGAACATCAATTGCTCTTTTTTGATACTGTTTCTACCTCTATTGATTTTCTTTAACATTTTTCTTTACTTTCTCAACCAAAGTAACTCTATAGACAGAACCTGCAAAAAGAGAAGTAATACATGGTCTGATTAGTACTTAAGGTGAGATAATGACAGTCAATGTGTTATCTCCCATACCCACAGTCTTGATATCCTATGGCCACACTCTAAATATCTGATCTTGATCACTCTTTCCGCATACATATAGAAAATATATACCACTGGTTATCCTTTAGTCTTTATTGGTTACTCCTTATATACCATTGGTTAATTCGTTAGGCTTTATTGGTTACTCATTATATAGCATTGGTTACTCCTTTAGGCTTTATTGGTTCCACATTATATACCATTGGTTATTCCTTTAGGCTTTATTGGTTACTCCTTATATACCACTGGTTACTCCATTAGGTTTTCTTGGTTACTCCTTATATACCATTGGATACTTCTTAGGCTTTATTAGTTAGTCATTATAAACCATTGGTTACTCTTTAAGGATGTATTGATTACTCATTATATACCATTGGTTAGTCCTTTAGGCTTTATTGGTTACACTTTATATACCATTGGTTATTCCTTTAGGCTTTATTGATTACTCCTTATACACCATTGGTTATTCATTATATACCATTGGTTAGTCATTTAGGGTTTATTGGTTACTCCTTATATGCTATTAGTTATTCCTTATACACCAATGGTTACTCATTTAGGCTTCATTGGTTGCTCCTTATATACAATTGGCTTCTCCTTTAGGCTTTATTGTTTACTCATTATGTGTCATGGATCACTCTTTTAGGCTATACTGGTGACTTCTTATATACAATTGGCTATTCCTTTAGGCTTTATTGGTTACCTTTTATATACCATTTTTTGATCCTTTAGGCTTTATTGTTTACTCCGTATGTAAAATGCTAATACTTTAACAATTCTATTTCGTTGTTTCATTTTTAATTCGCATAATCTTTTCTTCTCGTTTCTTAGTATACATTTCTTTCTTACATTTCATTTTTGCTTTTGTCTGTATCATTTGCTGTTTTTTTTTTCTGTTACCCAATATCAACTTCTTTCTTATCTTGCTTTCGGCTTTCTTCCTTACCAGATTTGATTGTTTGCTTGATTCTTTCCTTCTTATATCATTATTTTTGTTACCTACGTTAAGATTCCTTTTGTTTTTCCTTTCCTTCTTTCTTTCTTTCTTATAACATTGTTTTAAGAACCTTCATAATCACTTCTTTCTTTCTTTTTACTTTCAGTCTTTCTTTCTTTCATTCTTTCTTATAACATTGTTTTTAGCGTACATAATCACCTTTCTTTCTTTCTTTCTTTCTTTCTTTCTTTCTTTCTTTCTTCTGACATTGTTTTAAAAGCCTCTATAATCTCTTCTTTCTTTCTTTCTTTCTTTCTTTCTTTCTTTCTTTCTTTCTGTTATCGTTTTTCAGTCTGCCCTTCTGTTTCCTTTCATTTATTTTTTAAGCTGCTTCATCTTTTGTATATTTCAAATTTTTTTTCTTGCATCCATTTGTATTTTTGTCTTATTATTTCATATCTGTTTTTTTTTTCTTTTTTCTTTATCTAAAAAAGTTGATTTCTGATTTTACCAAATGTTTCCATCCATTGATTGCCTTTTTTTTTTTGTCCTTCCGCTCGTGTTTTTATTTTATCTCATAACATGAGGGTTCTTAAAAACATTTTGTTTTAGAACAATGTTTGTTTATTTATTTTTGTCTTTCTTCCATTTGCTGTTTATGATATTGTTTTTCAGTGTACTGAATTGGAACAAAGTATTGTAGCATTTTTTTCATTTGGCGGCGTTTGAACACAGTAATTCGTTTCGAACGTGATTGAAATTTACGAAATATATACATATTCTGAAAGGTGAAAACCCAGTGACTATTTCTATTCGATTAGTGTGTAGACGTTTAATTTCTTTTACATTAAAAGTGCAAATTTAAGAAGATAAGATGCTTTTTTTTTTACATTTGATGCACTTATACAGGGTGTCCATAAAGTTCGTGTGCGCTTAAAAAAATTAACTTTATTTGTATTTGCGATAGAAATAATTTGTAAAAAGGATTAGAAAGAAGTAAATCTATATTTTTTAAGGTTTTATTGAAATTTTATTTAAATTTCCACATGTCCTCCATCATTAGCAATACAAAGGGTAATATGATTTTACAGTTCACGGAAAACAATTTCCAACTGATGTACAGTAATGCCTGAAATCACACTACTTATTTTAGCTATACTTAAAACTAGGTACATTAAACTTTATAACATTTTTTACAGATTATTTCAATTGCAAATACAAATAAAGTTATAATTTTTTTGAATTGCACACGAACTTCACGGACACTCCGTATTTCTGGATGTGAAATAAGAAATATACAAACAGTAAAAAAATAAGTGCCATTTATGACGACGGTGCATTGTTTAGAATATTATTCGTAAATGGTTCACTATGTTCAAAAGAAGAAACTTAAAGCAACAGAAATGTGATTCTACAGAAGGATGTTGAGAATACCACTGAGTGAACATCCGAGCAACAACGATGTTTTGTAGGAAATGTAAACAAAAAGGAAACTTATACTTAATATCAGGAAGAGCAGTTGAAATTTCCTGGGAACGTTACGAGGAAGGAGGGCTTGGAAAATCTGATACACACAGGATACATTGAGTGAAAGGGGAACTGAGGAAAGCAGCGCGTATCATACATGATAGGGTTGAGCAAATGGATGGTAAAAGAGGATTTGGAAGAAATAATAAAAGAACAGAACTTATTAAGAACTACAACGGAAAGGAAGATGTGGAGATCCATGATCGGCTATTTCCTGAAGGAACACGGCATATAAAAGAAGAGAGAAGAAGAATCAGATGTTGAAAGATAGATCTGGGAGTCTGAGAACGTTCTTGTCGATTTGAGGTCATTAATGATGGTTATATTGAGACGATTATTAAAAACAATCCACATCGCAGGAGATGGAACATCAAAGATATACTCCATATATTTCATATGAGCTTTGAAAAGCACTTACACAATCCAGGATACGCTATTCACTACGATGTCTACAAGATATAGGAGCAAATCACAATTTAATCAGAAAACAATGAATAGACCGTATTTCCATTCACGATTCTCTGCTAAAACGCCAAAAAGAAAACTCGACCCAGTTAGGAAAAGAAGTCACATACATTGGGAAATTAATTTTTATAAAACTGTGCCGCAGAAAAGTTCCTGAGGAAAATCAATTTTGCTACAGTTAAGCAGTCAAAACAATCTGTATTTAGAGGGAATTGTGTATGAGAATCAACTCCCAAATGCAAATTAATTGAAACAAAACGAATAATCCCTTTATTTTGTATCTTTCCAATCAAAAAATGACCCAGTGCACTTGTCAATACTTCTACATTCTTTGTAGATTGGCCACAGATTCTCGATTAAATTTAAGTCAGCGGGTGGGATTCTGGACCAATCTATAGTACTTTGATTTGCTCACTGATAAGGCTAGACAGTGTGTTCGTGTAGTGTTATAATTTTCTGCTTCCTTGGAGTAACGTCAATCGCAGACAATGGCCTTAGGACAACTAATCGACAGTCGAGATAAAAGTGTTTGGGCGTGATAAAAATCCGCAGCAATGAGGGATGATGCAATGCTTTTGAAGGCTAACAAATTTCATCATACACACTGAAAATAGATTCATATTACGGCACACAACTACAAATGACCTCACCTGAGGAATAATAGAAAACAGTGGATCTAAAACTATGGCGAAAGAAAGGGAACTAAAGTGTTTGTTTCAATTAATTTGCACAAGGGTGTATATAATGCTTTTGTCAGTACATTATGAGTACAGAAACTATTCACGAAAATAGGTTCATATTACGGCACACCACTGCAAATGACCTAATCTGAGGAAACAATAGAAATTGATTACATCTGTCACGCCAGTGGATCTAAAACTGACCGTATGGTGAAAGAAAGAAAACTAAAACGGTTGTTTCAATTAATTTGCACAATAGTGTAATTTCCACAACATTTTTCATTGGATTCAGAATTGTACTTATCCCAGATAGATTGGTTAACAGCAGGAATAGATGAAAAGGAACCGTAACTGTTCTATCGGAAGGGAGTGGTCTAATCAGAACAACACAAGGCTTCACCTCTCCGCAAACCCAACATAAATACCGTCTTGCTCGAGGTGTCCGAATACACATGTCAATATCTGCCGAAGTTGCACTTATAGATTACCGCTTATTTCAATCCTTAGAAATTTCTCTTAATGGGAAGAATTTCAATCCTCAGGAATCCTGTTAAATTACTTAGAACAGATTATCACTAAATATCAGTGAGGGGGAATCATGAATCTTCTTCAGAGATGGCGAAAGGTCGTGGAACAATGGACACGTATATGGTTGAATAAATCTATGTACAAATAAGTAATGATTGTTCTTTTTTTTTAAATTTACTTGAAAATAGAGACGCTACGAGATATTTTGATTCAATATATCTTTTCTCATTTTTTATCATAGGTTTGTCTATCTCTTGATATTGATCCCTAAGTTCATTTTATTTTCCTTCCCTTCTTGTTGTCAAAATTTATAGTTTAGCTGGACGATTACAAAGCTGTAATAGCTGATGGTTTTAAGTGGAAGAAAACTGCTCTCTTTTGAACCATTTGCGTATCTCCGTTATGTTTTGCGAAAATAGGCCTTGTTGATTTAAGACTTTCGGCAATTGGTATTTGAATGGCGTAAACAGGAAAACAAGTTACACCGAAATATCACAAAGTTGTGGTTACTTACATAATACTGATATGTACAGATTTTATACTATTTTCATATATTTTTTTTTGCGTTGTAGAAATTTAAAAAGGTCGAAAAGAGTAATAAGTCGTTGAAATCAGTTGGGTAATGTCCATTATGTTTTGTGTAAGGAAACAAATTATATGAATCCTGTTCGTAAGATTCTAGTCCCTGAAATAAGATACTTTTAAAAGATATCAAGTTTTGGGGATGATTTGGAAGTATGGAATAAAAGCAACCTTGAATGATAGTCGAATTGAAGAGTAACAACTTATATAGTGATTTTAGGATAGGCGGTTTCGATAATACGCTGGGTAGCACTGAAGATGAAATACTTTTTAGGCTAATTTTGGATCCTTATCATGACTTGTCTGATTCCTTCCGAAATTTTGCAGGTTTTGAATCAAACTAAACAAAAGTAAACAATTCTTTCTTGACGGTATTTACCTTATTTTGATGGTTTCACGTTGCATTTTGAACAATATTTAATTTTTTTTTTTAATTTTCAAACTGAAATTCTGTTCAATAAAAATTCTTTTAAACACGACAGTATTTTCCCCCCAAAAGAATGTTAACATCAAAATAAGTGTGTGTATTACATTTCCTGAAAAATACAGTATATACAGTTAAGATTTTTGCCCAGAAAAAAAAGTGGCTTTAATAATATTTGAAAAAAAATCAGTGGTCCGATCCTATTTAGCAGAAAAGTCTGGAAAACAACTGACATTCTACCTTAAGTAATTTCGTCTCAAATTGGTTGGTTGAGTAGCCAAAATTTAAAGAGCTTTTTTTTTTAAATTTTATCTTATAATCTCTTACGTAGGATCGTTCTCCTCTTTTTTTTAATTCATCCATAAATGGTTTCAATTCTTCTTTCCATCTCATTCTTTCTGCGAGTATAGTATATTTTCAGGGAATCACTTCTGAGTGACACTTTAGTCTGACGACGGTATTTCGCTACAAATTAAGTCACCGATACTTATTCTCTTCAACTAATTTTCGTCCAATACATTGAAAAGTAGTCACTTAATGAGTTTGTTATCTGAGCGAAAGGGAAGACGGTAAAAGTGCAGTTTATCTGGTTATGTAAAGAAAAGGTAATGGATAACTGTGGATGTAAAGAGGTTAATATTATAGTGATCAAAAAACATCCTCTCAGGAGTTTTGTCCACAAAGTAGCTGTTCTTGAAAAAAAAAAAGAAGCTTTAATAGAAATACGAAATTAATGAAGGTGATTCGACCCAGTGTACGTCACTTGACGGGTTTTAGATTTGAAGATCAGAACTCCTTCGAACATTTGCCATGGATATATCGATAGAATAGAGACAGGGCCGCGAAGATACGCCAGTAGGACAGGGTTTGTTGGGTAGTTAGTTTACTTTTTGTCCATTCATTATCCATCTTAGCATACTTGATTGATCATTTGTTCGAATTATTTTTCTTATCTTTATTAATATTTATGTTATAACAGACACCAGGTTTCGGTTAGTTATCGTCTGATCATCTTCAGGTGTTCGTTATTATTAGTTTATTTTATTTAATATGGGATATATCATGATTACTGTGCTACTTTCCACTTATCACGCTACTTTGCAATGTACATCTGAAAATATCTAGCGGATACTTGAC